GCCCGTCAACATCACGTTTCGCAGAAATCCTTCTGTTCCCCTACGCATTGCTAAATGCCTAATTAGGTGCAATTTGCCCAGAGCGGCACTGTGCACATTTCACAAGATGCTTTCCCTGCCGTCCAAAGAACAGATTTCATTTTAAAAACCTTGCAGATCTTAAAAATAAAATTGTGTGCATTGATACACCTTAGGAGTACTCGTTAGCCGAGCTGCAGGGCGTCTAGTTCACTCTGGGGTTTTAGGAGGTTCTGATTTTTAATTACAGAGTGAATTTGAAAAGAGGGTGCTGTGAAGAATATTTGGACCCAAGATGGCACTACATAACAAGAGACTGAGTAAAATTTGTATAACTTGTACTTTTCGCCAAATGTAATTAAAATGGTCAAACTGCATAATGAGGAGCTTCATAGCTTGTACTCTTCTCCAAGTATAATTAGAAAGATCAAGTCAAGGAGGATGGGATGGGAAGGGCATGTAGAACCAAAAGGAGAGGAATGAATATAGGATACTGGTCGGAAAGCCAGAAGGAAAGAGACTACTAGGAAGATCATAACGTAGGTGGGTGGACAATATTAAAATGGATCTTAGAGAGATAGGATGGAATGGTATGGATTGGGTAGATCTGGCTCAGGATAGGGACCAGTGGAGCGCTCTTGTGAACACGGTAATGAACCTTAGTGTTCTATAAAATGTTGTGAAGTTCTTGTGTATGCCCAATTGGCGGCTTCTCAAGAAGGGTTCGGCTCCAAGAGTGAGCAATTAGAATGATCAAGACCAGGAATGAGATGGGGAGGTTATATAGCACGCATGACAGCTATAAGAAATGCCATAAAGAGAAATATCACTAGGAACACGTATAATAATACTAAATAATATTAAAATGCATCCTTGAACGTTCGGTTTCAGTAAAATATTGGGAAATTCTTGAGTAACTGAGCGACTGGTAGCGAAGAACTCGACTCCACAGAGCTTGTTCCTTATATCTGCCTAAACATTACACATATTAAAGAAATTCACCCAAATGTACGAGTACGTATAAGGGTTAAGAGAATATGGCCTGGCAGAAGAGTTCGAGTGACTTTTGGGACAGCCACGGACTGTACCACTGGGAGCCCGGTTATATCGAGGCTTCACTTTACATTCTTCAGTCCCAGTGCATCAGCCACGGCCTTTACAACATTCGGCAGCAAATAACTTAAGCAGATGGGAAAGCGTCGTTGCATACCCGAAGAATAAATACAATAATTATCGACATTTCGATTGGAATGGATTCATCCGGCTCACTATAACGCCGACTAGTGGGCTCATGTAACCATAGTAATGAATTTTTAGGTTCCATATCATACTGCAGCGTGTAAAGCCGTTGCCATGCAACGACCGCGAGATGGGCGGCTGTAACAGGGCCGTTTCTGGGCAATGACTAGGTAAACACGTTCCCGTTGCTAGACATCAGATTCTTAATAATGCAACAGTTGGACAACAATGAAACAGCTGTGTTTTCTACGTGGTCCGTGCCGACTGGTTATAAGCGAGAGAAAGTTAGAGATTAGTTCTGTACAGGAGTCTTGAATTCAGGCCGGAACCAGAGGAATAGCCATTGTGGGAACCGTTACCAGGAAACGTCTAGTAATTGACTGAGAACACTAAACTGTGTGCTCTAGTGAACTGTAAAGTGCGGAAATAGCAATAGTGTTATAGTTACTTGTAGCTGCAACTTGTAAGTGGTCAATAAACCCAATATCCAGTCCAAAACCTTGTCTATAATCACACGTCCTACACGTGAAAATACCTAGAATATTTATTTAAATAAATTAATTATTAACAGTTGTGTCTGATCAATGTGCAGGATTCATACCCTGTTCTGCCACTTTATCCCACGAAAGTGAGAATGAATGTACAGTCAGTGTATTTAGACCTGGCTTCTGGGGTACGAGTTAGAAGCACGGAAAGGATTAGCGGGGCAGTGGCTGCAGCTGAACTGCGACAAACATAGAGGGTGACACACTGTAACTAATGCCCTGTTATAACTTGTACACACACTACATTCTACATAATGATTCAAAATTATTGTCGGGGTTTCCCTGGCCTATAAACGGAAATCCCGATAATTTGGAATCACACTGCACTGCGCATTCTGTTGAGAGTGGCCAGGCATAAGAAGACGCACGGTACATAGACTGAACTCAGATGTGCCTCCCTGTTTTGCAGCATCACCAGTCCGACGGACAGCAAGTTCTCTTGAAAAACGTGAACCTCAAAGCCAGCGGCAAGTACAGATGTGAGGTTTCCGCTGAGGCACCATCATTCACGTCGGTACACGGCGAAGGACGAATGGAGGTTGTCGGTACGTCACATTTATTTATTTGTCATTAGTGCCCCGACGACTCAGTCGGTATAGCGAGCAGACTATTGGATGGACGATCGAGAAGCCGGGGTAACATTGCCGGCAGGGACAAGATTTTTCTTTTCCTCAGCGTCTAGCCCGGCTTTGGGGCCTACCCAGCCTCCCCTCCAGTGGGTACCGGGGGCCCTTTACCGGGGACCTTTCACCGGTACAACACCTGGGGCAATAATCCGACCGCTCACCTCTATCTAGTACTGAAGTTAAGAATGTTGGGAGCTCTACTTCCATTCCCCAATACGCACTCACAAAGTTGCGTAAAAAGGTAACGCTTGTGATTTGCGTTTAGGAGATGCCCGGCTCGAATCTCTGGAGGGACACCAGCTATCCCGATTTCGTTGTTTTCCTCGGCCTCTCCAGGCATCTGCGAGATATAGCGGCTTGAAGTAGACCACGACCGCTTCAGTTCATATCTTTTTCAACTTATTATTCAGTAACCATCCGCTCATTCGGGGGGCGCGCGTCAGCGTAGTTGGTTGAGGCACTATGCTACAAGCCGGAATGTCACGGGTTCGAGTCCTGATGAGGTGGATTTTTCAATTTCCTTCCAGCTGCACTATGGCCCTGGGGTCGACTCAGCCGCTAACAGAAATGAGTACCAGGAACTTCCTGGGGGGAAAAGGGCGGCCGGGGTGTAAGGCTGACAACCTCTCTTTATTGCTAGTGGGGTGGGACTAAGTCCCTTGTACTGCGGCAACTTCTGGCCTATTGTGCCAGCCCCAGATGATAGGTGAGGGTGATTGTGGAGCAATTGGTGGAATGAAGATTGGCAGGGGAAACCGAAGTACTCGGAGAAAACCCGGCCCAGCGCCACTTTGTCCACCACAAATCCCACTTGACCAGACCCCGGGATCGAACCCGGGCCGCCGCGATGGGAAGCCAGCGACTAACTGCTTGAGCTATGGGGCGGCTAAGGCTGACAACCTTACCGTCATCTTTGAACCGATTGTCTAGAGAAAATGTGGGAGCCTCGACGTCTCACAACCCTATGGGCCTCCACGGCCTGTTACAGGGATAGCTTTACCTTTATCCACTCATTCAACGTTTCATAAAAGTAGTTACAGTGTCGTTAAATTAATTGCGAAGTAAAAGAGCCCTGAAGAAGGCAATTGATTCCTTATTTGAAGTAATTGTTGTTGTTTATTTAACATCTTTTGAAGTACCTAGACTGTACACTATTTAATGTTATTATGATTGATGAATTATATATGGGAAAGGATTTGGAAGGAAGCGGTCATTAACAGTAGAGATGCTACCCTTACTTTTGTTTGGAGGGACTGACAAAACCACAAAAATCCTCAGAATAGCTAGTGTACTGGGAGACGTGTGGGCTCTACACTCTTATCCTTGGTTCGAATCTCGGCCATGACACCGGATATTCTGACAGATTTTCTTCGTGCCTTTCCTCAGTCACTCCAGGTAAATGCCAAGATGCTATCTCGAGCCTTGAGACTCTCTTTCCACTTCATAATTCAAGTAGCGCCTACGAAGTTTTATAAACCTTTGCTTGAAGTTGAAAGTCAGAGAAAGACGAAAAAAAGACAAACTGTTCCATGGATGAAATATTAACCTCCAATGAATCTATTTTGTGGTACAGAATTACGGAGTTATACAGGGCATCTGTATTGCAAAACACGTATAACAAAGAATGGAAAAAATACACTCAAAATATGCATATTTCAATTTTGCAAATTGCTTTGCCTTCGTGTCTAACAGAGGAAATGACAATATTACATTATTAAAACAATACACGAAACAGAAAACTGTGTGGCAAAAAAATGCAAAAAAAAAAGAGAGAGAGACTAAAGTTGATGAGGAATCGTGATTAATGTTTAACTTTGTATGTAATTTACATTCAAGCCACGTTCATATTGCAAGCGCTGGTGGTAATAAAATGGCTGCCATTTTTCACACGGTTCTAAAACGTTGGGAAAAAAAAGAAAGAAAGACGCGAGCAAACCAAAGTTATGAAAGACACAGAGTACCCGGAAATTAACACCACGCCCTAAATTTTCATAGTTACAACAATCCATCATCACGTTGCCATGGTAACACATAAATACAGATTGCTGGTAATTCATTCATCTCACGTGCGCGTTCTTCATTATACGAAATGCTGAAGTCGGTCTGCCCCACGAGCGAGCGTACGTCACCACTTGCGCGCGCAACTTTACAGAAGAGAAGTCGTGTGAAAACACTGTGACATCGTCCGCTGCGTCCCACTACTCGATAAATAAGCGAGCCATCACTACGCAACGGCCCGTAACAGCAATAAACCTGTTGGGAGAGGCATTTTCCATGCTGCCCATCGCGAGGCTAATACTTCCACCGTGATCCTGCGAGTCGCAGGCGACGAAAGGGGAACCCAGTGCCCGAGGGTACAACTGGGCCATCTTGTTCCTGGGGTATATATCAACACGGGGCCCCGGCCCTCCAGGTTGGGGAAGTCTCTATTTTGAAAGTAGAATATGGTCATGAGTTCATAAGTGTCAGAAGCATAAGAAGATAACAAAATAAGATCGTCATGGCTTGGAACTGATTCGGTTAGCTTCTTCCACATTCGCTTTCTCTTTGTCCTGCAGTCTCTCCTTTCGATCCCTCCTTCCTTTATTCCTCTGTTTCTTTGGAGCCGGGATAGCTCAGTCGGTATAGCGACATCGTCCAGACCGTCTCTGGGGTCCACCCAGCGTCCTATTAAATGGGTAAAGCGACCAGGGCGTGAAGCTGACCACTCACCTCCAACTAGTGCCGAGATTAAGAAAATGTGGATCTATACAACCACTCCCCCATTCGCCTTCATGTCGTAATGTTAAGCACAGGGACAACTTTACCTTTACTTGTGTCTTTAGTTCTTTCTATTTCTATGCAATTTCAGGTTCTGTTTTCTTGCTTGTTTTCATTTTTCTATTTGCTCTTCTTTACTCCCGCCTTCCTCCCATCTTTGCCCCCTTCTGTGTTCTTATTTCCCTCCTTTCTTCCTTCTTTTGCTCTCCGTTTCTCCTTTCTTCCTTCTATTTTTCTTGTTCTTAATTTCGCCTCATTCAGCCTACCTTCCTGAAGCAGGCTTATTATTATTTCTTTATATCTTCATCTGTTTCATTCCTTCTTTCTACATCTCTCTTCCCGTCCTCTCTCTCTCTCATTATCCCTTATCCGTCTTCCTCTGTCTCGGGCCTCCTGCTTCTTCGCCTCACTGTGTCGGTGCTGTGTTCTCAGCTCTTCCGAAAGAGGGCCCGCAGATCACGGGCGAGGAGGGGATGTACCAGGTCGGTGACGTCATCAGTCTCAACTGTACGTCCGGAAAGTCATATCCGCCCGCGAGACTTCGATGGTACATCAACGGGAGACCGGTAAGTCTCGCGTCAGGCTCCTGTCCCGCCTTGAAGCACTTGGCAATGGAAATTCCGTTACGGGTGTAGAAAAGTGACTTGGTGTTAAGACGAACTCACGGGCAGTACCGCTGCTACTGTTTATACTACTGCTAATGGGAGCCGTGATAGCTCAGTCGGTATAGAGACTGACTACGGGTTGGACGACCGAGGGGTCGGAGGTCGAGTCCCGGTAGGGTCAAGAATTTTCCCTTCTCCACGTCGTCCAGACCGGCTCTGGGGTCCACCCAGTACCGGATGTTCTTTCCGGGGGGTAAAACGGCAGGGACGTGAAGCTGACCACTCACCTCCAGCTAGTGTCGAGGTCAAGAAAATGTGGATCTATACATGCATTCCCCCATACGCCTTCATGGCATAGTGCTTAATTAGTGAAGCACAGGGACAGCTTTACCTTTACCTTACTACTAGTAGTAGCAGAAGTAGTAGCAGAGAACAGTGAAAATTATTTATTGGTTTCTGGGTAATTATTTTTGATGTTGATTTCACTCTTGGGTCTTCTCATGGTGTGGATGTGGGCAGTGTTGCCAGAGTTTCAGATATATATGCAAACTCCACGCTACTCATTTATGCCGTGAAGATGGAGGCAGAAAGTACATCCGACAGCTCTTACATATAGATTGTAGCTGTGTGGATTTTGACACCGTGTAGACTTGCAGAACCGTGAAAACAGTCGCCTGCCTGTCTCAGAGTCACTTTCTCTCCCCCACCCTCCACCCTCGGGGTTTGTGACCCTGAAAAGGGCCGTTCTCGTGTTCGCCGTTTCTATTGGTCCAGGCCGGGTTTTACCACCTCGTTCGATCCCATGGATATCCCTTGCAACCTGCGTACATGAACTGAACACACCCTCTTCCTACTCGTTTCGACCCTGAAGATGGAGGCAGCATCTTCCTACGAATTCCCGACCCATAGCTACCTACGATAAGCCGAGATAGTGCAGTCGGTATAGCGACTGGCTTCAGGCTGGACGACTTAGGGGTCGGAGTTCGAATGCCCGTAGGGTCAAGAATTTTCACTTCTCCATGATGTCCAGATTGGCTCTGGGGCCCACCCAGCCTCCTATCCAATGTGTACCGGGGGGTAAAGTTGACCACTCACCTCCAACTATTGTTGAGGTCAAGAAAACGTGGATTTCTACATCCACTCCCCCGTACGCCTTCATAGCGTAGTGCTTAATTAGTTAAACACAGGGACAACTTATCTTATCTTACCTTCCAAAACTACACGGCGTCACATCCTAGTTTGAAGTTGGTTCTCACAGCGGGGACAATGAAGCTTGCTGTCTTCAATGGTCTTCAGCCTGACTGAGGTTTTTCGTGTTCTTCCTCATTCTCTCCAAGCAAATTCAGGGATCGTACCTCGATTATGCCACGAATATGTCCAAGTTCTTTTTAATTCATCATTTATCAGTCATACTAAGATCCGACGTTTCGTAATCCGCGATACTCTGAGCGTCGTTGAATAGTACACAAAGGAATAGGGACAGAACAGATCTGCCTCCATTTTGAAAACAAATATCAATGCCTATCTAGCAAACTACACGGCGTCACAGTCCAGAAAGCAGTAACGTAACTATGTGTGCCAGGTTGTTCCTGACTACAACGCGGTGGTACAACAGCACGGCCTGGTCACGTCTGTGGTGGGTCTGAGGTTCGAAGTCAGGCCGCACCATTTCTCTTCAGGTCACATGCAAATCCGTTGCGTGGCCACCATCTCCACGGATCTGGAGCAATCAGACCCCCCTGACCGCGCCCCACTCCTCGAGGACAACAGAGAGACCCTCCTGCTAGGTAGGCAACCATTTGTCCTTCATCAGCTGACTGTTCATATACTTAACAATGTAAGTGCCTGCTGAAAAATTCGATATAAAGTCTCTTCATTTTGCTACAGAAATTTCAGTACCTTCATTTCCTCCCCTCCTTTCTTCCATCATCATTTCCAGTACCTTTTATTTCTCCGTCCCCTTTCCTTCCTCCCTCTCCTTTACCTGAAATATTTTAAGTAAATACCGTTCAAAACTACAGTACCTTTTATTTGTCCGTCCCCTTTCCTTCCTCCCTCTCCTTTACCTTAAAAATTTTAAGTAAATACCGTTCAAAATTCCAGTATCTTTTATTTGTCCGTCTCTTTTCCTTCAACCCTCTCCTTTACCTTAAACATTTTAAGTAAATAGCGTTCAAAATTCCAGTACCCTTTATTTGTCCGTCCCCTTTCCTTCCTCCCTCTCCTTTACCTTAAAAATTTTAAGTAAATAGCGTTCAAAATTCCAGTACCTTTTATTTGTCCGTCCCCTTTCCTTCCTCCCTCTCCTTTACCTTAAACATTTTAAGTAAATACCGTTCAAAATTCCAGTACCTTTTATTTGTTCGTCCCCTTTCCTTCATCCCTCTCCTTTACTTTAAGAATTTTAAGTAAATACCGTTCAAAATACTCCTTGATTCGCTGCTCACTTCTATTATTTTTATAAAACACATTGTGTTAGGTCAGTTTCGCTTTCCGTTTCCGTGGACACAACGGGATGACGTGATAAGGACAAACCGAAAAATATTGCCTTATTTGGGCTAATTAATTGCACAATGATTTACTTACGGTACATTTTACTACACTTGCAGTATCTCAGGGCGCACAGCGTTGAGAGATTGGATGACGGTGAATAATGAATTTGAGGGGATCTGAAAGGCGGCTGTCGCGACTGAGGTGAGGTGCGATTTGTTTTTTTCTGGAGGAACAGGGGTAACCAAGATAACCATGTTAAGATGGGCGACGTGACGAGTGAGATTCGAGCCGGAAACCTTTCCAAAACAAGTCAGAAAAGTTAACATTTGAGTCTCGGTTTAACTAGGCAACAAACTAAATCCATGATGCATGTTCCTTGGCAAGAAAAATGTTGAATTCTCAGCATATTACGGAACCAGAAAATTCATTACCGTATTTACCGTTGCCCGTCATTGGTCCCTAACTTATAGAGGACGAATCTACTCAGGTACATCCACACTTTATTTTCAACGTACTTCCCTTATTTTCAAAAAATAAATGTATGCTTATGAGATCACCCTGCTGTCTGTATGCCTCCCCCCCCCTTAATTTTTGTTAGGAGGTTTAAGATATCGCCTTATTCTCTGTGTCTGTGTGCCACCCCATAATTTGTATTTTATTTATTACAATGCCTTGCTGTTTCTGTGTGTCCCCTAATTTTTGTTAGGAGGCTTATGGAATAACCTTGCTCTGTGTGTTTCCCCAATTTTTTTTTCGTTTTCTGTTGAGTCCGTGTCGTATAAAAGGGAAGTAGGAGATTAGTCCTCCCAAAACTTTTAGCATTTTAACTGACTACCTCATTTTCCTGTGTGCGAAATTTCAAAATTAGACAACGCGTGGTTGCCTTAGAAAATCTGATGAAATTACGAATAACAATGTGAAGATAGGAGTTTACCAGCTGCCCTTAACGAACCCAACATCTGACATCTGACGCCGAGAGCACTGGGTTCGCCATGGCGCCGTCAGACTGCACTTACAGCGGGATTGAGTCTGAGTTATTGATGGCTTGGGAGTCTCACAGGGGCTTAAGTCAGGCTTCCTCCCCGTGTACAGGTCTTACAAAACCCAACCCTTATTTACCGCCCCTAACTAAGCTCCCCATGTTATTAACCCCACTTACTCATTCTCAAAATACTGTGTTTCAACCATCCACACACAAACGTGCCTACGTATACACTAGCTGAAACATCTCTGAGGTTGCGTCATCATCAGGTAGTGACGTTTATTGTTACGTCATCATTATAAAGTTTGCGAAATTTTATTAGGGTCTGTTACTTAACGAAGCTGCAAGCATCGATGTTATGTAGCACCGATAATAGAATGATTAATGAACGCGCAACAATTTCATGGAATGAGAATCGGTAGGAGAAATTTCGTCCCAGTGCCATTTTGTCCACCACACGTCCCACATAATGACCTGGGATCGAACCTAGGCCTCTGCGATGGGAAGCCGAACTATGGCTTATAAAAAAATTCTATTTTCAACACACGATAACAAAAATACCCCATACCGGAGATCTCGTAGAACACATGGGAATTTTTCTTCCGTAAGGTTGCTTACTAGAGGTGTGACGTACCCTCAGAGATGTTTTGGACAGACAATGTAATCATACCACATACAGAGTCAGGATTCAGACCTGCATATAATCAAAATGGACTATAATTTACAAGTACAAGGACATTCTTTACAAATTTAGGATTCTCAGGCCAAGCTGTAACGCTTGTGGCCTGTATTTAGGAGGCAACCAGCTCGAAACAACGCAGGGACATCAAATATCATGAAAGTTCCTTTTGGTTGCCATTTTCCTCAGTCTTTCCGGCAAACACAGGAACAGCATTCCTGACGATGTCATTGTATTTTTCAATTGACCTAATCCTTCCAGCTGCACTTTGGGCCCGGGTTCGACTCAGCCTCTAATAGAAACGAGTACCAGGAATCTTCCTGGGGTAAAGCGCGGTCGGCGCGTAAGGCTGACATCCTCATCATCATCTGTGAGCCGATTGTCTGCAAAATGTGGGAGCCTCGACGTCTCACAACCCTATGGGCCTCCACGGCCTGTTACAGGGATAGCTTTACCTTTTTACTTTTACGCACAGTGTCCAACTCATTAATGGTCTTACTATTCGGCACAAAAATATGAGTCTATACGAATGATAAATCTGATAATTTCCATAGACTATAAAGATTAACCTTTAAAACCTCAGATGCGATTAATTTATCCACAAATTTATTGTAACACACATTGTAATCCCTCATTCTGTTGCAGTTAAAGGTGGAGCTGGTAGGTGGCGATGCTGTACTGTCACCACGCTACTGCTGACATCTATCGCAACTTGGCTCATCACATGATGTGGAATTTTAAAAGTTTAACAATTGCCATCTGTGAACCAATATCCGTTTTAAATACGGAAAAAAAAGTTTAAAACTGCAAGTATGGCGTTCTTACTTCTTAAAACGCGAAGGAACTGCTGTGTTTTTATGAATATCACTTAGAAGTGAGTGGATATTGCGATTTCATGATTGAGAAAAACAATTTAATGGACGTTTCGTACACAGAAACAAACGACTGTAAGAATGAAAGCGAAATAATGTTTAATGCATAATGAAAAGTTATTAATGAGTGAACATCTCAGATATAAAAGTTAGTGAATATATCAGACATTAATTAGAAATACATAAACAAACTTACTTTTACACTGACTGAAAAATAACTTGTGAAACTGTACAGATGTGATACCACGCGTATTTATGATTATAAAAAAAGGATGGTCTCATGTTATTACTTGGCGACTGGACACTTCGACGTGCAGACACTCTTCGCTTTACGTAATTTCTCTCATAAGGACTTCAGTCATTTCGCCTTACACTCTGCTCTGGTGCACAACTTTCTTAAAAATTTAGTAATTTTATTGTTATTATTATAGCATAATATAATAAGTTTCCTACGATCGTATGTTTTCATTTCTGGAATTAAAATGGAATATTTCTTTTGTTTTGTTTTTTTTTATTTTATGGTCGTTCGGGAAATTAACACCGAATTATAACGCTATGATAAGCAGATATTCGTAAGAGCTAGGACTGTCTGTACTCTCATGTGATGGTTGAACCCATTTGTGTACTTTATACTGTTAAAAGATGTTGTGCTTTATTTCAGAAGACCTTTATTACTCTACGTATGGTTTGTATCATTTAAAAGACACAAGTTTTCTATCTTGAGCTGAGAATATTAATATACACATCACATCCGTTTCAACTTCCTTGTAAATAGTAAAAACTGTGAAAATATGTATTCACTTCAATAATATTACTATATTCTCGGAGGTAACGTTATGTATTCTAGTAGAACTATGCCGACGTTTCGGGCGGAAGTACTGTATCCATCTTCAAGATAAAAGTTTAAGCAAAGCAAACCTACTTCAGATATCGGCGTGTAAAGGAACCCCGAGAAAACCAACAGGAGCAAGAAAAAGTAATTAGTGTACCTTTGTCCTATTGTATATCAGATTGTTAACGCTTGCCGAAACGTCCGAGATATTCTACAGGGCTTCACGGCGGCATATCACGAAATACTCTACCGTTGATAATCACCGCTGTGACGTCAGATCCGGTATGTTCCACTTGACTTTCTTATGCAGAATGTGCAAGGGACACGATACAATGAACTTGCGGTAACTCACGTAACCAGCAAAGTGCCGGGACTTAGAGACTAAGTATGTGATACTGTGCTGCTTGGTCTGGGCTATAGCACAATTCAGAAAGCGGTGATAGATCGGTATGGGACAATGGTGGAATGATGATTAGCAGGGAAAACCCGAAGGAACTCGGAGATGGACGTACTCCAGCACGACTTCGCTCACCACGGATCTCACACGAAGTCACGAGTTATAAGTCTCGGTGTAAAGTTGTTCTTGTGTCTGTGGGTGAAGTGGAGGTAAGACACCAAGCATGCTTAACCTCGTCAGTTTCACGATATAACTTCAGAAAAGGAGGGGGGAAATAAAGAAAATAAGGACAAACAATAAAATAACTGAACCCCAAAATATTCTGTTATTTATTTTAGGATTCTTTCAGTATCTCAGATTATGGTAAGGTAAAACTATTCTTGTAACGAGCCACTGAGGCCTGTAGGGTTGTGAGACGTCGAAGCTACACCGGCAGCCCTTGCAGCATGATTGTATAACGGTGATTTGCACAGGATCTGAAAGCAAGCGATCGTGGCCGATGTTAAGATAACTTGCCTGCATTTGGCTTGGGGAACAGAGTCAAACCTTAGGAGAGCTCGGGTTCCGCCCGAGATTCGAAGTGAGGACCGCCCGCATACGTGTGAAGAGATCTACCGCTACACCAACAGGTTTTGTGTTTATCTAGACGCGTTAAATTAGTCAGAGGTCGTGGTTTGTTTATTGGCTGGTAAATTGCTGCTGGTCTTCGTCAGCACAGTCATTCTTGGTTGCGAGTCCCGACTCTGGGAGTCGTGTGACTAATCTGTATTATTTCTGAGTTGTGACGCCGTGTAGCCTTGTCGGCGGATAGCGACGTTATAAAGAGCAGGTTGAAACGTGTATGGTGAGGAACTGCATCCGTTTGTCAGGAGATTGCAAAGAATTTTGTTATTTAGACTCAGGCTATATTGTGAGTAGATCTCGTGGAGGATTAAGAGAAAGGAAAAAGCGCTTAAGGGCCAACAGCATTTCCTCATCACAGGCAGGAAATGTGATAATGAGAAGCGAGGAAATCCGGCTCTTCACAGAGCCAGTAATACTGTTTATCGCGATAGGACAGAATTCAAAATTACGATAAGAAAGGCTATTTTTAGGGCCAAAAATATTTTATCGTCGAGGGAAGGAAAGCGACCCTGTTTAGGGCCAACAACACTGTTCATTGTGACAGGAACGGAAACTGCGGGAGAATACGGCCCTTTTCAGGGCCAACAACATTGTTCATTGTCACAGGATCGGAAACTGTGGGAGAATACGGCCCTTCTCAGGGCCAGCAACATTGTTTATTGTCACAGGAGCGGAAACGGTGGGAGAATACGGCCCTTCTCAGGGCCAAGATTGTTCATTGTCACAGGAGCGGAAACGGTGGGAGAATACGGCCCTTCTCAGGGCCAAGATTGTTCATTGTCACAGGAGCGGAAACGGTGGGAGAATACGGCCCTTCTCAGGGCCAAGATTGTTCATTGTCACAGGAGCGGAAACGGTGGGAGAATACGGCCCTTCTCAGGGCCAACAACATTTTTCATTGTCACAGGAGTGGAAACTGTGGGAGAATACGGCCCTTTTCAGGGCCAACAAAATTGTTTTCGCTATATGAAAGAGAAATGAACAGGGCAATTGAGACACGAGAAAAGATTTCAGTGTTTAATATCTCTACATGAACAGTCCGTTCTTTTGCACACTAATCAAACGTAACAATATCCCATTACTTCTATTTCCAAGACAATCAGATTTTCTTTTACAGTTATTTTCTTAAATGAGATTCAACTGTAGGCCCAAGTTTCTCTGCCCTCTAAGAACAAAATTACTTAATTTTCCTTCCTTTAAAAAGATGGGGGGGTAGAAAAAAGAATTTAGAACCTTCAGGAAGTTTTAACCGCTTCCAGAATCAGAGAAGTCACCGCATGCGGCTTCAGAAAAGGAAAGTGGAAACTTTTCTGGGTCCTTGGGCAGTCATTAATCCACTTCAAGCGGCCCTTCGCTTTCCTCCACAGTTTCAGGGAACAGACCACAACACAGCTGAGCACTCCAGGCGATAAATATTAATATTTATACTCCCCCTTTCCTTACCCAAATGCTTTTGTGAAGTTTCAAGATTGTGTGCATACACAGGGCCAAAATACTGTCACGTATGAGGGGCGCCGTGACTAATAACAACGGGTTCTGGATTCGATGATTGGATTTATTGTCACTTCGATTAGTGTCACAACCAATTACAACAGCTCACAATCAATGACTGCTTAAACCCCCGCTAATCCGGTCGCAGTTAATCCGAATCGAGATATTGAAAAATTCTGTTCACAGTTGAGTACGTACTTTAAGAGACACGTGGCATTCAGGAAGGCAGATGAGTCACTTGTCTGTTCAGACAGAACTTGAGACAGTTTCTTCAAACCTGCATTGTTACGTTCAGAAACAAGTGCAACTGAGTCTTTATCGATGAATACATGTACTGTCTTTTTATAGTTTTTAAATGAAGGCTGTACAGCGATATTTTGTTATTTATTTTCATCAGCAATAATTATATCATTAAAATTTTCTATTTATTTGGGTTCTAAGTTTTTGTGTCTTTTAGAGTTACCTGTTGCTTCATCAATCCGAATGACCTCTCTCCTACCAATTAGTCCGGATTAGTGAAGGTTAACTTACTTGCTTATAGACGTCATAGCTGAAATTGCGTTTCATTTTCCAAATATTTCAAACATTTCCTTATAAGCGCAAAGGTCTATGCTAGGGAACGGTATTCGGTTTAAAATACTGTTCTCCCTGTAGGGCACATCTCACCTTGCCGGTGAAGTATCAGCGTTCATTTCTCTTACGTAAAAGTCGGCGCATTTGTAAGTGAGCGCGTGAAAAGAGGAACTGCAGTAACTTTACGTGCGTGTACGAACTACGCACATTTCTCAACGCAAAATGGCTGCTTGCGTTCCGGAAAGGAAACGCGGTAAAGAAGACGGAAAAACTTCGGAGTGACGAAGCAGAGGGTTAAAAAGTAAAAATAGACTTACTTAACGCTTGTGTTTGGCCACAAATTCACCCTACTTGTCTTCCGCCCTAAATGTCACCCCCTCAGTTCCTTATAAACCTTCATCTCTTTCTTACCCCCATGATTCCTTTTTTTTCCTGACTCGGTTAAGTTTGGAAAGGTGGTTGAATAGTGGAAAAGCTACGAAAGGGAGAGCAGAGGGGTTGGGGTGGGGGTGAGAAGGAAATCACGATTATCTGAACCGGAGCAGACTGGGATAGGACCGAGCGTCCTCAGGCGGTTTGAAAATTACACCGAAAATTCTTTTACCTTCTGCCTCCAATTTCCCCTTCACACACACATACCACAGACGAAAATAAGAAATTCCCTGACTTTTCTTTATGCTCAGGTTTTTTTTAACATTCCCTCCAGGGAGGACGGCAGAAAGATGAGGAAGGAAGAAAAAAAGAACGGAGAACAGTAGCAGAGTAAGCCGGGGTGGAATTCCGATAAGCTCTGAAATATAATCAAATTGAAGTCGGTCCGCTGTTCTTGAAGAAATGGCATATTGCTTTAACATGATATTCCCTTCGCCTCCCGCCATGTTCAGCGTGACAATGTTGTCCTTCATCTTGAACTACAGGGAAGTGTTATATGTAGAGAGCAACATATTCTCCGCCGAGAGGACGGGTCTGTCATTTACAATTGCTGCTGGCCTCGCCAGCACAGTCCCGCTGGACTCATGACGACAGTCTTACTGTCTCACATTCGAGAGCCCCCCAACCGGCATTGCCGGTTCTCACAGTCTCTTCGCTTGCGGATTTCTTATATTTTTCCTTCTACTCTGAAGATGGAGGCGATACGTTCCTCCGAAACGTCAGTTAACACCACATATACACGGTGCCAAATCCCAGAAGACTGCTTTCTTCATAGTCGCCGCCGTGAAAGCCTCAAATCTTACAAACTTTTATTGTATTATAAAAATGCAGCCGTATTATAAAAAGTTAAACAGTTCTGTCCAGTGTGACTGGTGAAGATTTTCTTTTTATTTCAATTCTTCATGCCCTTACATGTTTCGGTCTCTTAGAGACCTTCATCAGAGCGACATCAATACAGTTGGCAGCTACTATTACAGTATATATTCTGAGTGTTAAAATATACATATAATGTTCATACTAGCCCTTGTCGCGGCCGAGATTCGAACCCAACACATCCACATACAAGTCTAGACAGTCAGCGCTACACTAACCCGCTCGGATCTTGTGGCGTATGACGCCGTGTGACATGCTGTGGAAACAAATAATTCAGTGGGCGATAAAGTGTTTTAACGTCCAGCTCCCCTTTACACGGCCAGGTGGGTTAACATGTCAATGATAAATCACCCTTCATCCCAGGGTGGAGCCGCCCCGTGGACTCTAAATTGAATGTTTATATAATTGATTGGGAAGAAACAGCGCGCTTCTCTGTTCATCTGTCTCTGACAAGCGGCTTATCTGGATGGGCAGGTCACGCGCGGCCTGATAAGCATTCTAAACAACTGACATAAGCTCACCCCAGTGGCTCACTTACTTAAGAATTTCCCAACAGTTTA